TTCCTCATTCATCAAATAGGACATATTTGTTTGAAATGATGGGACTAAAAGTTCTCAAATTACTAGAAAAAAATCACTGTAGGATCCAAGTAACAAAGATAATAATAAAAAACTTCCATCTTTCTGCACTGATCATAGCTAATTGCTCCATAGGGATAGAATATGTGGATTGCTTTAAAAGTATCTGGTACTTAAGGTTCAGTCTGTTTTCTACATTATCATAAAGACAATATGAAATATACTGGAAAGTTGTGCATTTTTTCCTACATATTTCAATATGAATGGCAAATCAGAAAAATTTAAATATCTTGAGAAGATACTATCTTTACACAGAAAAGCTTTACTACCTTTATTTCACCAAGTAAGAGATAGTTCATGTGTTCACTTAATGTTTTTTAGTTCACAGTAACCTTGGTATTTTTTTCCCACAAATGTGTTCGCCTGTATTAAAATAATAAATAACCTGATGAAAATGTAAGGTTAATGGACTTTGCATAAGAAGGCAAATAGGGAGCTGAAGAATCTTGTTAAATTTTATAAATCCATATAAAGAATTTAATTTAGAATTGAGCAGGTCTGTTCTTTGGTCATTTCCCTTGGCATGTTTTATTTCTCGCATGCTAAGCTGTTACTCCTCTTCTTCCTCTTAAATAGACAGAAGTTCAACTAATGCTGTGAATTTTTATTAGTCTGGTATGTGATATCTTTATAGGCAAGAAACAGCAAGACAAGAGGCTTTAAAAAGGCACTTAGACATCAGTAACCATCATCAATTTTACTATAAAAATCTGAAATTTTTCTGGTTCAAAGAACTGAAGCTAGCCTCTACATTTAGCTGAAGGTCTGTCCCTGAAGTTCCGTTCGCAGCAACAGGAAGATTATCATGGAATCACAGAAAGGTTGGGGGTGGAAGGGACCTCTGGAGATCATCTGGTCGACCCCCTCTGGCTCAAGCAGGGCCACCCAGAGTTGGCTGTCCAGGACTGTATCCAAATGGTTTTTTTAATATCTCCAAGGATGGAGACTCCACAAACGCCCTGGGCAACCTATGCCACTGCTCAGTCACCCTCACAGTAAAAAAAGTGTTGATGCTGTTCCTGCTGACCCTCCTCTTCTTCAAGCTAAACAGTGCCAGCTCTCTCAGCCTCTCCTTGTAGGTGAGGTGCTCCAGTCCCTTAATTATCTTAGTGGACCTATGATGGACTCTCTCCAGTTTGTCCATGTCTCTCTCATACTGGAGAGGCCAGAACTGAACACAGCACTCTAGGTGTGGCTTCACCAGTGCTGAGTAGAGGGGAAGGATCACCTCCCTTAACCTACTGGCAATGCTCTGCCTAATACAGCCCAGGAGGCTGTTGACCTTCTTTGCCATTAAGATGCATTGCTGTCTCATGGTCAGCTTGTTGCCCACCAGGACCCCCCAGGTCCTTCTCTGCCAAGCTGCTTCCCAGCTGGTCAACTTGCAGCGTGTACTAGTGCATGGGGTTGTTCCTCCTGAAGGGCAGAGGCAGGACTCTGGACTTCCCCTTATTGAACTTCATGAGGTTCCTGTTCAGCCCATTTCTCCAGCTAGTTGAGGTCCTTCTGGACGGCAGCACACCCATCTGGTGTATCATCAGCCACTCATCGCAGTTTTGTGTCATCAGCAAACTTGGTGAGTGTGCACTCTGCCCCACCATCCAGATCATTAATGAAGATGTTGAGCAGGATCCAACACCAGTATTGGCTCCAGGGCTACCCTGATAGTAACTGTCCTCCAGCTAGACTTCATACCACTGATCAACAGCATCTGAGCCCAGCCATTCAGCCAGTTTTTAACCTACCTCACATACATTGCCCACATAACTTAAAAGCTGCAGATTTTTAGATCTGCAGAAAAGACTGGAGGTACAGCCTTTTCTGGAGACATCATAAAATCAATCAAATCTAGGCAAGATGTGTGTATTAAAACACTAAATTTTTGTACATGGATTTCTAGTAAATGTAAAAGATGAAATTAGAAGTACAAAAGTTACATACTCAACTATTAGAAATCAAGCAACTTTGTTGACAAAGCAGAATTCTGCTACTTCTGCACAAGCCTTATTGCCTCAGGTTTAGACATTTATGTAGCATTTTCTTTAGTGCATATATGCAAGTGCAAACCACATTTGCATTTGGGGGACAGAAGCAGATTCAACACAACAGTGAGGACTATTACTTCAATTCATAGACCATTTCGCCCAGCAATGAAAGCAACAAGTTAACCTCTGTTAAGTATCTTATCATTTGAACTTCCCAGCTAGAACTTAAACTGGCCACCGCCATTAAAGATAACAAAAAATGTTTTTACAAATATATCAGTGACAAAAGGAGGGCCAGGGAGAATCTCCCTCCTTTGTCGGATGTGGAGGGAAACATTGCCACGAAGGATGAGGAGAAGGCTGAGGTACTTAATGCCTTCTTTGCCTCAGTCTTTAATAGTCAGACTGGTCATCCTCAGGGTTTTCAGGCCCCTGAGCTGGGAGAAGGAGATAGGATGCCGAATGGAGCCCCAGCTGTTGAAGAGGTGGCAGTCACCAACCTGCTCCTCCACCTGGATGCTCACAAGTCCATGGGGCCACATGGGATCTACCCAAGGATACTGAGGGAGCTAGCAGAGGAGCTGGCCAAGCCCAGAGAGTGGTGGTGAATGGAGTCAAATCCAGTTGGTGTCTGGTCACAAGTGCGTTCCCCAGGGCTCAGTGTTGGGGCTGGTCCCGTTCAATATCTTCATTAATGATCTGGATGAGGGGATTGAGTGCACCCTCAGTAAGTTTGCGACCTGGACAGGCTGGATCGATGGGCCAGGGCCAACTGTATGAGATTCAACAAGGCTCAGTGCCAGGTCCTGCACTTGGGGCAAAACCAC